TTGGGCAAGGCAAAGTTAGTTTACTGAAAAACTTGCCCTTCTGAACTAATAGCTCAAGACTGGAAGGATCACATCTACAAATCAGTCTGATAAACTTTACTAAAAGCAAGTCACTGGGCCAAATTTCAAAGATGACAAAGCCATAAGGCCACTGCTATTCCCTCCCTTTTTGTCATTCTTAAAAAGGATGAAAAAAGGCCAATAATCTCTCCAAAAAGCCCCTGGGAAAATGACTAATTGCCACATCCTCCTTCTTAACACGCTTAAGAGGGAAAAGACTTTACTGTTGTAGCTCCCACTTTTCAACAATGTTTTTTAAAAGTGGGAGGAATTCGTTAAATCTTAAAGGTGTCTTCATGTTGTGCTTCATTTTTCAAGAAGCTCAAATAAGCTTCAAATGTATTTTATTTGCTTTTTTTCAGTAGACAGAACATCAGTTTAGTTAAGAGCAGTTAATGTAACAAAGTTTAAAAAAGAAAGAAAGAAAGAAAACGATTTAATCCCTTCCTAGTCTCTTAATAGAGCCTCGTGTGGTGTCTTACTGGAAGCCTGGAGACTAACACTTGCTAAGCATTTTGTCCGCAGCTAGAGAACAACTTCATTTTAAAGTGAAATGTTTAAAAATTATGTCTTCCATAACTGCCAAGACTGAGTTTGGTTCCTGGATTTATTTCCTTGTAAGGACACATGACATCACTTTCCTGAAAGCGTTTTATAATGCTCCCCGGACTGTACCAAATACCTCCGATGTTATCAAGCCTTTGCAATTAAATCCAGTTCTGCAAATTTGAAATTTTAGATGTAGCCAGGGAAGAAATTTCCCTCACAAAATTTGTAACTTGTATGACTCTGGAGATAGTCTGATGGTGATTTTAAATAGATCTGGCTCAGTAAAATCTCTATAGTTAACCTTTAAAGTGATGGGCTCCAACTGCATCATTATACAATGGTATAAAGCTATCTTGCAAATGTGGGGATGGTACAAAATATTTATAAAAAATAAATGTTAGGGTGAGGTTAGCTGTTTTGTTTTCAAAGCAGGTTGAAAAAGACATTTGACAATGGTTTTTTCTCACCTGTAGTTTCATACCAAACATAAAATTATTTTGCTCATGATATTAGGGAGAGGACAGTTCATTGCTGCCCTTAGCTGGATTCGCGTCAGTCCTGTTGCAAAAAAATAGATTTATTATATGGTTCAGCCTAGCAAAATAGGGAACAGAGTCAGACAAAAAGCATTTTCTCAATTTGGTAAGTTAACTTATTTCTTTGAGGTTTTTTTTGTTTTTTGTTTTTTTCTTTTTGGTGAGGAAGATTAGACCTGAGCTAACCTCCATTGCCAATCCTCTTCTTTTTCCTGAGGAAGATTGGCCCTGATCTAACATCCGTGCCCATCTTCCTCTATTTTATATGTGGGATGCCTGCCACAGCATGGCTGGATAAGTGGTGCGTAGGTTGGCACCTGGGATCTGAACCTGCGAACCCTGGGCTGCCGAAGCAGAGGGCGTGAACTTAACCACTACACCACCAGGTGGGCCTCATTTTGAGATTATTTTTACAATTATTAATAAGTGGAAATGATCCAGAAATTCAGGCATGTGGAAAATTGTTTTGTAAATAGATAAAGCTATTACGTGTTGATGTATGGAGCAGTGGTTCTCAAACTTCATTGTGCAGTAGAATCCCAGAGGACTTGTTAAAAGAGTTTGCTGGGCTCAATCCCAGAGTTTCTGATTCAGTTGGTCTAGGGTGGGACCTGAGAATTTTCATGTCTAAGAAGTTCTCAGATGATATTGCTGCTGCTGGTTCAGGGGCCATCCTTTGAGAACCACTGATGTAGAGCAACTGAAAACCAGCTTAAGTGTCTCTTTTCCATATCTTAACTGGATATGTTTCACATTTGTTTCCCAGGCTATGTCACTCTCAAAATGTGAATCATAGCAAAGACTTTCTGGCTCCATCCTCTTCTACTCTCTCTGTCCAAAGTTCAGTGACCTTCAAATTCTCCCCTTCAAGGGCCCCCTTTCCCAAGGCTGAAGGGTAAATGCCTAACGCTCCAACGGAGCAGTTTCCCCGCTGTGGTCATCAACACACGTCTGTTCTCAGTATTTTCATATGTATACTGTGTAAAGCAATTTTGTGGTTAAAACATGTTGGGATGCACTGGTTTAACTGGAAAGATAATTACTTTTAATCTCAGAACTTCTGAGAACTTTTAATATGTAAATGTGCATTGTGAATTTCCAAAAGAGACCTAAAGCATGTGGCATTTCCCAAGTGGATCTGATCTTGGAATTCTTCCTCAACCCCTCTCTCTCCCCCACCAAGTGCTAGGGGAAATCTCTTAACCACAGTTTGGGAAATACTCTAAGTAATTTTATAATTTAACTCTATTTTATAAGGTTAAAAAAAAGTCTATATTACCACCTAGGAAAAAGGCCAACTAACAGGCCAAAAACATGATTATGAATTTTAAATCAATTTAGAAAACTAAATAAATGCACTTACCCATTATTTTGATTGTATGTGACTTTTTCAAAAAAGATAAGAAAACATGAGATCTATCCTGATAACAAATTTTTAAGTGTACAGTACAGTACTGTTAACTACAGGCACAATGTTGTACAACAGATCTCTAGAACTTATTCATCTTGCTTAACTAAAACCTTATACCTGTTGAACAGCAACTCCCTGTTTCCCCTACCCTCTGGCCCCTGGTAATCACCCTTCTATTTTCTGCTTCTGAATTTGACTATTTGGGATACTTCATATAAGAGAAATCATGGAGTATCTGTCCCTCTGTGAGTGGCTTATTTCACTTAGCATAATGTTCTCAAGGTTCATCCATGTTGTTGCACCACTTTCTTTTTTATGGCTGAATAATATTCCATTGTATGTATATACCACATTTTATTTTTCATGTGACTTTTTCTTGATCAACTAATTTACTGAGTGATATAAAGAAAGAACCCAATGGCATCTAACCTCTGCTGATCATCAGGCCTTTCCTGATCTTACCACCTAAAATATCCGTATTGCTCTCCTGCAATTTCTTTTCCATTACTGTTTCATTTTCTTCATTATATTTCTCATAAGTTATTGTGTTAATTCCTCAAATGATTTATATGTTTATTGCTTATTTCTACCACTAGAAAACAGTTCCATGAGGGCAATACCTTATCTGTCTTGTTCACTTCTATATCTTCAGTGCCTAGAACAGTGCCTGGCACATCCTGTGCAGTCAGTAAATATTTTTTGATGGAAAGAATAAATAGATCAATAAAATCATCTCAGTTCTAGTTATGAAATCTTTATTATAGTAACAAAACATGTAGCAAGAGGAAAGGGTGCTCTTTAGCACCTTTAGATGAGGCAATTAGAACAAGCTTGTGATTTCCAATGGAGTAATTCCAATCTAATGATATGAAGGGGGAATTATTGATGTGAAACTCAGGATGGCATTTTGTAGTCTTTCTTTCATCATAATTCTTATTTTTTACTGAGGGATCCAAAAAAGGCATACAACTCTTTTTTAAATAAGGCAAGTATGTGAAAAATGCCTGGCATACAAGTAGGCCTTATATAAATATCAATTTCTCTCTCTCTTTAACTTTAAAAGACCCCTGAAAATGATGCTACTTCTTGCCATATTATAAAGTTCTTTGATTTGTACAAATCTAAAAAGCATCATTAACACTGCTTTTTAAAAAAGCATACTTGTTCTAAAGGAAAGCTTGTGTTATATATTTGCATTCTTGCATAATAAGCAAGTGTTAAATATGCATAGAGGATACATGTTGCTAATTTATGGATCCTGGTAATTTTAGAGGCATGGGAGAAATCTATTTGAAATGTATGATGGTTGGATATTACAGTAGATACATTCAATTTTGCCAAACAAAATAAGAGAAAGAAGTCAGTAGGCATTATTTTTAGGGGGAAAAGATTCATCCAGGAATCCAAGAAGATAATTGTCAGAAGTCTTTAGGACATAATGTGATTTGAAATTACATTAAGAATTTATCAAGTCTATTTCCGAGTATTAAAATGGAAAAATATTTATATCTTACTTCACCAGGCCTTTTATGTGGTTTACAGTTTTTTTCTTGTTTAGGTCGTCTACATCCGGTCCCCATTCTTTCCTGTTCAATCCTCTCATTATCTTCCTCTAGGCGTTTATGCTTGTTTTTATTTTATGCTTTTATCCTTTTTAGTGGAAAAAAGTGGGTCAGTATTACTTTAGTTTGTCTTCACTTTCACTCTTCTGTTCATTCCTGACCTAGCTTTTAGCCTCTGGAAAAGAAGAAAGTAAAAACATTTACAGAAACTGGGCCAACCTCTCGGCGGTCCCCCGCTCCTCCGAGAAAACAAAACCTAACCAACTGCAACAGTAGTTCCTCTCGAAGCACCTTGTATTTCCCTTCTCATAAAGCTCAGATTTTTACTCTACGTAATTGTTTATTCAATATTGTTCATCCCAACTAGACGTTCAGTCCTTGGAGTACCTAGTACATAGCCAAGAATATAACATAAAAAAATTTGTAGTTTAAATGAATTAATGCTACGTGCGTGAATGACTTCTGCACTAGTACCCACCCACCCTCCCACCCACAATTAAGGAGAAAAGTTGCAGCAATCAACCTGCTCATGTGTTGGTCATTTGACATCAACTCTCTAGAAAACCAGTAGAGAACTGTGGCCTTGATTTCTTAATTATATAATTACTTGGATAATTTAAGCAAGAGTTTTTGTTGTATTGGGGAGTGGGAGGAAACTGAAGGGGCGGAATGATTCTGGTAATTTCTTCTCCAGTCGCTGTGGACAGGCACTGCTTAACCTTCTCTCTCCTCTGGGGTCTCTCTCCCACCCCCCGCTCCCCTCCGGCCGCTCCAGAAGCCTGGCAGGGGTGACCGAGGCCCCCACCTCGGGGCGGGGGTTTTCCCGGGGATACCCCGCCCCGCCCTCTAGGCCCCGCCCCCGCCGCCGCCGGCGGCAGGGGGCGCGCTGCCCCCAGCGAGCTGCTCAGGCGGGGGTGGGGGAAGCTCCCGCGGCCGGTCGCCTCTCTCCGTCGCCGCTGGTTGGATGGTTTCAATAAAAGTCTTTTTTCTCTCTGGCTTGCTCTCCTCCGGGGAACGGGCGGAGGCGTCAATCCGCAGCCGCCGAGTGAGAAAGAGACGCACACGCAGCGAGCGAAAGCGGCCGCCCGCGGTCTCCTCAGCTCCGCTCCGTCCGGCCCCAGAGAAGAAGGAGCCCGGGGCCGGCCGGGCCGCCTCCGTCGGGCGTCGGCGCCTCCCTGCCCGCCCGGCTCCGCCGAGGGGATTAGCGGGCTGCCCGCGAGGCTCGGCGGCCCGGGAGCCATGTTGTCCGGGGGGCTAGGCTACGCGTGAGGCACCCGCGGCCCCTCCCGGAGGCTCCGAACCCTCGGCGAGAGCCGGAAGGCGGCGGCGGCGGCGGAGGCCTGCGCCTCGGAGGCGCCTCGGGTCTGCCAGCCGCTGGGACCGGGACCTGCATCCGGTCGCCGCGGGCGTCCGCGGAGCCACTTTCTCTCGGCGCCTCGCCTCGCCTCGCGACGCAGCCCCGCACTTGCTGGTGAGTTGGCGGCGGGGGACCGTGCGGGGCTTTCCCTGCTGCCCAGTCGGCCCCCGGCGGAGAGGGGCCGGAGGGTGCTTGGGAACGGGGGCCGGGCGGCTCAGGCCCGGCCGGCAAGTTGAGAGAGGGAGGCGCGGCGCAGGGGGCTCGCGGGTGCCTGTCGCCCCTCGGGTCCAGCGCGGACCCCGGGTGGCCGAGGCATTTCCGGAGGTGGGGTGGGGTGCGGGTGCCGGCCAGGCTGCTTCGCTGGAGGCGCCTCCAGCCGCCGCCTCCGGTGCTGGCTGCCGCTTCGGTCTCCGGGGAGGCCGGTGTCCCCGCGGGGCCGAGGAGGGGAAGAGGCAGAATCCCCCGGGACGCAAAGGTCCCCTCGGCGGGGGTGGAGCGGCGGGCGCGGGCGGCGCAGCCCCGAGGGGAAGGAAGGGGCGCGGGTGTGCGGGAGGTGGACGGGCAGGCGGTGGCCGCGGCGCTTCCAGCTCCTTGGAGACGCGGGGGGTGCGCGTGGGTGGGGAGCGGAGGAGGAGGAGCCCTCGCGTGGGGTGCCGGCCGAGACAAAGATCGGGGCAGCCTCCAGCTGGCGGGTCACACCCCTGAGTGTTGGTCAAGAGCAGAGGTGGAGGGAATGTGGGAAACTCAAAGAGCCGATGGGGAGGGGGAAATGGGGGGCTGCCAAGTATTGTCGTCTCGGTCGCGGTTGCTTTTCTCAGCGTTTTTGTGCCCGATGCTTTTGCTCCTCGACTCAGCTGGATAGCTCCAGATTCCCTCCCTCCCGTCACCCGCTCACTGCCACATTGACTCCCCTGTGGTTTTCCCCTCCTCCCCCCCCTCCCCTTTTCACCCACTCCTTTTCGGGTAAGCAGTATTTTGCCTTCAGCTTGGGGAACGTTTGCTAATGACAGGATGCCTGAGCTTGTTCTGACCCTGAACTGCCTTGAACTCCGCTCTCTTCCTCCCACCCTTTCCTTTCTGGGATCTTATAATGTCACATGGCCGTTAACAATTAGCTTTTCTTCTGCAAAAATGGCAAAAGCATTTAGCTCAAATATGTGGCGCTCCTCCTTTATATTAATAAGTCCATCAAAGACACGTCGTTGGTCTGGTCTGTCACCTCTTTACTTGGCCAAGTTCATTTTTTAGATACAAAAGTGGCATATTTTGTTTTGAATCTTGGCTGTTCCTAGGGTCAGTAAAGTGTGTTGTTCCTGGCAGCCAGACCTTCTGTCACTTATCAGGAAGTGCTTGACTTAAAGACAGACAATTCTTTCCTCAAACTTGGCTGAATCTTTCTTGAGTCTTTGTTGAAGAGTTTCTTTTAAAAGGCGCTTGTGTAAGAAGGTCAGAGTAACAAATCTGAGTTACTGTGTTTTAGGCTTATTTTGCTAACCTTGGGGCAGAAGAAAATGAATGGGACTTGAAGACCTTTGATGCCTTGAGTAGACGAAATCCTCTCCTGAAGCTAGAAATAAGGTTCAACCAAATTTTAAGAAAAAATTTTGCTAACGGTAGTATCATCGGTTTTGGTTTTTTCTTTTATGAGACTAAGTAGTTGGCTTATTTAATAAATGTTGGGATGTTGCTTTGTTAATGAAGTCATGTCAGTCTTTGTAATTCTAACGCCTGCATACTTCTATAAACAACGGGTTGGAACAAAAGAAAAAAATGTGGCTATATTTAAGGAATATTCTTTTTTTTATGCAATGAGAGAAAATATTGGACTATAAAAAGTGTTATCTTTTTATCTGGTAAACTGTCTCATAGGCCAGAAACACTAACAGTTTGAATGCTGAGCTTCAAAGAAAATAGCTATCTTTGAATTTAAGCGGTTTTAAAATTACTATGCAAATATAATTTACTGATTTTCTTTTTTACAGCAAAAATAAAAACACATTGAAATATGAATGGAAAGAAAATAAAAGTAAAGCCTGTTTGACGCGCAGACTTTACTGTTGATACCGTTGTAAGATCAGTCATATTTTGCTGCTTGCTGCCATTAAAATGTTGACACTATAAATTGTGAAAAGGATTTCAGTTTAGGGACCAATCTCTGAATTGTGGGACTCCTCATCCCACTCTTACCACTGAACACGTATTTTAGATATCTTTGTGAAATTAGCAGGTTATATCATTAATAATCAATGTTTTATATAACGTTTGTCAAAAGGCCATATTGAGGATACATTGGGGTTTTTTCCTGCATATTTATTAGTGTTTAATTTAGATAATCAAAGTTTAGTTCTCACTAGAAGGAAATCTGCCAAAAAGTTAACAAAGATTTCTGGTCATGGGATTTATGAGTGAACAAAAATACAATTCTGTATTTTTAAAATTTTTATATTACTTTTACAATCAAAAAAGTATATGAAAAATTAAAATCTTAATATCCTGATTTGCCTATTACTGAAAGAAGCTTCTATAAAATGTGTAATTTATTCTCATCCTTGGATTCAGCCCCAGTAGAGTAACTTTTAGTGTTAGGTATTTGAAATAGTGCAGCCTGCTAAATGTACTTTGGTTACCTGAAGGAAGAAAGATATGTATATATATCCTAAGGAAAGATGAAATTGGAGGAATTGATTTGCTGTATGGTAGGGATCCAGTGAAGGGTAGCTTTGTACACCAGTAATCTTGTTCTAATAAGATTAGAACATTGGCTTTACAACAAACAGAAAAATTAAATTTTATTTGCTCTGTAGCGCAGAATAGCTGTGTTGACTAAGCAGATTTTAATGTATATATTTGATATATTTAGTTTTCAAATATTGGTTCAGTTCTACAATTATGGTGGAAAGAAATGGCATATAAAATAATTTTCTTTACTGTGTCAAGGCTTTTGTTTTTTCCCTTATTTTCAGCAATATTTTCCTCCTCTCCCTTTGTTGGTGAAATAGTACTAACTAAAAAACTGCAAATATTTTATTGTGAACAATGAAAGCTATAATGGCAACTGAGGTAGACATTCGGAAGTGAAGATGGTAATGTCCCTTAATATTAAAAAAAATGATCTGTGAACAGGAAATTTTTGCCCTTGTATTTTCTTTGTTATTGTCTAATAGTACTGAATATTGATAAGGTATTGCATTTGGAATCTTTATTACTGTTCTCCAGTGTTATAAAAATTATAGCATCATGTCATGGCATTCTTTTATATTGCTTTTATACTTCCACCGTGGACAATTATTTAATGAGTTTATTGCTGTATTGTAAACAAAAGACATTGTATGCTAAATTCAGCTTATAGACATATTCTTTAGAGTATTTTATCTATTTTAAAAATTGCCTCCTTTCATACATGTGAAGGAAGAATAGTTTAGGTTCTTTGAATTTTGAATGCGTAATTTTTGCTTAAACTTTTGAGTAGGAAGGAGTTAAAGTGCGTTTTATAAACTGATTATGGCATTTTGAATTTTAAATGAAGATAAAAAATAGGTTAATGGCATTTAGAAATGTGCTTTATATAGTATTTGTGAGGTAAAAAAACTGCCTACAATAGAAAACCTGGTATAGCTTACTAGCATTCAGCCTACAGCATTGGCACTGTCTTTGAACTGGTGGGGAGTAGACTGCTTTATTTTTATTTTTTAAATTTCTTTGGGATATTTACAGTATTAAACCAAAAATGCTTACTGTCATTAGTGGATTCTTTGTCATTGTTTTGCTCCCAGGCTTTTTAGTTGGTAATTACTTTGGTATCTGCAAAATATTGACCTGGAAAGAGGAATTGCCAAGGGCCGGAAAAATGTGTTGAATATATCTGAGTGTAGCTTACCTTTCCTAGCCTGTTTTCCTCTCTCTGTTGGCCAACTTGGAAAATCACTAGATGTCTACCAGTAAATCTAATAGGAGGGGTGCCACTATAAATAATGTTGTTATGTTCTGCAGTAACATATGATACTGAGTACTGTGTTTGAGGAGATTTACGGATCCGTGTCATATTGGGATGAGTGAAAATTATCTTGCTCTCTAAAGTCTCCTTCTTAAGATATTTTTTGATATAAGCTATGTGAAAGAAATTAACCTTAATTAATTACCTCTTTTGCTAGGTACTGTACCAAGTGTTAAATGCTCACAATAAGCCCAGCATATGTACCTGTTTTTCAAATGAGGAAACACAGGCCTTAGGTTAAGTAATTGTCTCCAGGGTCCTACCTCTGTGTTGAAGCTGAGATTCCATTTTAGGCATTAAACCACTGTGTTACACTGCCTCTATGGGGATGTGATGTTAAAAAGTCAGTGTTCAGTGAGTGCTGTAGAGAGATCTAAAAGGTGGTAAATTAAAAGGCTCATCAAAATTTGATTTAAATTCTGTTGAATTAGTTTTACTACATAAAAAAATTGAACTATGCAAAATGTATAAGGGAGGACATAGCTCAAAATGAGCTAAAAAGATATTTAAAATATTTGTAGATGTATTTTTAATCATGAATTTATCAATTAGACTTCATTGGGCATAAAGTAAAATGAATATGGGTGCTGAAAAGCAAAAAAAATTATACTTGGCCTTGTGATACAAATACTTATTTTCATTTTTACTTATATATTTACTTATTTATTTTGATTTTACATGTGTTAAAATTAGTTCACATTATTTGAGCGTATGTCATAAAAGGGAAGACAGCTCAGATGCTTGCTGTGTAGGTTGCTTCAGTCTTGGGTGAAAATTTTGCCTTAAGGTACATAAATTTTATATACATATAATTGCCTTTTGGTTTTTGGTTTTGGTATTGCTTATTTTAATTAAGTGTAAGTTTTGATATTGTGTTTTTATTGATATGTGGCTATATACCACTGAAAAATGGAACTATCAGACTAGATTGTACATTTTTGGTCATAACTTTTTATATCGAAAACCATATGGTATAAAAATTGCAAATTAGTATTGGTGATATATGTCTTATCTGTTGTTCAGAGTTAAAGAACAGAAAATGTTATTGACTTAACCTGAAGGTAGTCCATTAAAGTGAAAAACAGTGAAAGATTTGCTTTCTTTCTTTTGTTGTCCTAAA